CCGAAAAGTTCAGAACTTTCAGTGCTAGAAGGTTGCCTATGGAGTCTGGAACCTTCCCAGAAAACTTATTCATAGAAAGATCCAAAGTCTCAAGGCTCCTCATTTCTCCAATCCACTTTGGAACTTCACCTTCTAACTCATTCTTTCCCAAGTTTAGATAGTAACACAAAGTTAGCTGCTGAAATGTCTCTGGTAAGTTCCCTGATAGAGAATTTTCACTAAGATCAATAGTCTTAAGCAACATACAGCTCCCGATTTCGCTAGGTATAGGACCCGATAACCGGTTTCCACTCAAATCAAGCGCACGCAGGTTGTTCAATCTGTCTATCTTCTCCGGGAACTCTCCCTCTAACTCATTCCTCGATAAATCAAGAGATCTAAGAGTGTTCAAAGACCAAATCCCCAAAGGCATAGAACCAGAAAAACGATTCGAAGACAAGTTCAAAGCAGCAAGAGACGAGCAAGAGCTTATACTAACCGGTATCTTCCCCATTAGCTTGTTCTTCGCCAGAGAAAAGACTCTTAATGACCCACATTGCCGGAAAAACCCATCAGGAAGCGAACCAGACAACCCATTGCTGCTCAAATCGACAACTTTAAGGTTAACAAGACTCGGCAGCAAATTAGGGTTAATGATTCCTGTGAGATTGTTGTTGGACAGAGATAGCTTATGAAGAAACTGAAGCTGAAGTAACCCACGACCAATTCTACCAGAGAGAGAGAAGCCATCTAAGGTTAGCTCAGTGACTCGATTAGTTCGTGGATGGCATTTAACTCCGTTCCAGCTACAAGGACTGTAGTCATCTTCGTTCCAGGATGCAAGCTTTTGCTCCGGATCTCGCAGGTCGGCTTTGAAGACAATGAGACCTAAAACGTCGTCGTTTAAAGGTGGGTCTAGAGATCTCACCGGAGCAAGAGAACCCACCACCGACATCAACAGGACTGAAAAAACCAGAGCTTTATACATCTTTCCAAAGACCCACTTCTCCTTATTACAGATTTTAGTTGCGGAAGAGCTCCATTTTTGGAGTATCTTGAGCTGAAATTAGAAAGAACAAAAATTTGATG